GTTAGGGTTTTCCCTCTTTGCTCAATGCATGCTTTGTTTAACTCATTCTATTGCATGATTATTGATTTTGTCGATATGGACACATACGGGGAAATCTAGATCTGGGGAATCTCTCCCAATAGTAGTATAAACCTAGACATAGGAATATGATGGTTGGTTGCCTTTATGCTTCTGTGCGAAATAATGCATGAATAATTGCTAGGGAGACAAGACATTGTAAATTAGTGATTTTGATTAGGTTTTCTTCACCAAGACATTGGGTTTAAGGTATATTAGAAAGTGACATTAACATTAATTAAGAAAGATGAATTCTTGAATACATGAGAGTGGATAGGATGAAATAGATAAACCCCAACAACATAATCTCATTCATATAATTCAAATCACACGTTTTGCTTTTTTCCTTTCCATTGATCAATACATGCATTCATATTTAATTTTTAGTAATTTGCATTTAAAATCTCAAAGAATTGGTTTTACAAGTCTTAGATAATCAACAAATCACATAACTGTCTAGGTCTTGAGTCCTTTGGGAAAACGATAATTGGTCTTACCAGTTTTATTACTTTATACGACTCGGTTACACTTGTCGAGGGTTAACACCTTACTCAAGTTCTTCCAACCAGGTCTGAGATATGGGACTTCATATTTGTGCTTGAGGTCCTTCTTCAGAGAGGAAAAGTGATCGGAGAGCCAATCTAGGGTTGTTTTCATGAACGCAATCAGTTTCTGTGGGAGAGCCTTTTGAATGGTTGTTGGATCTGAAGCAAAGCAGGAGAACTCCATGAGTGAATTCATCATTCAATTTGAAAGATTTGCTAGGGTTATTAAGGGATTGGAAACAAACAAATTTCTTCTTTCTTTTTCCTTGTCATTTTCCTTTTATTTTTTTAATGATTATATCATTGGTTGTAGTATAAATGGGTATAATTTGATTTCCTGTGTAACTGCCAGAGTAGTATGATCTTCTCGCTGTTGGATGTGTTATGGGAAAGGTGAGTGTGAGAGAGGTAAGAACTTCCATCAAACTGTAACAAGAAGCTGATTGGTGCAAGGTTTTTCGGCAAAGGCTATGAGGCGACATTTGGACAGTTGTACAAACTTAATAACAAATTAAATAAAAAATTTCACGTCATATAAGATGTATATATATGTGTGCACCACGTCATCATAGTTAAACGGCGTCAATGAAAATTTAATAGAGAGGACTTAATTGGCTCATTTTTACAAGTTTATGGACCCGATTGAGACCGAAAAATATATGATGTCCCACTTTAGATTGATACACAAATACGAGGACCAAACTAGGGTTTAAACCTAAAGAAAATAATAAGATGTTTTATGTATTAAAAGAACACAACAAGAAATGATTTGAAATCAATACAAAAAATTTATGAAAATTTGTAAAGAGACTTTTCTTTTTCAAATACAAGGGTTAAAGAATGTAAGCTTTAGAAAAGACAAAAGTAAAAAATATACAGAGATAATTCTTTATTTTTATATCTTTATATTATTAACAATTTTAGGTCATATATATATATATATATATCCAATTATATATAACAAATCATTAAATGTTTAGAGCCATTATATTTTATTAGTCAATTATTAGGTGATCTAATTAAGTAAATGTGGCTAAGAACATATATGTCATGAAAGGTTTATTGTGTATAGACCAACAATAATTTTAATTTGTTAAATGAGCCAAATTATAATTATTCAAATTAAAGAAAAGTAATCATCAGAGGTACATAAAGGGTCATGGTCTCCCTTTGTGAGCACACATATCATTCTAGTTTCTTTCTCTTTATCTCTAAAAGAGAAAATCCAAAGAGAACTAAAGGTGCTCTATAAAAGTAAGATCATATACCTAAGGTTGATTATTAATAGTTACTAATGTCTAATCCTTCAAATACGCTTTTGCTTTTCTATCCAATATGGAATTGGGAACTGCTCTATTTGTAAAGGTTTAATGCCTATTAATTTTTTATCTGTGATTCATAAACCAACATAGATGTCTTCTCTTATCTTCATGTAGGCCTTTTTATATAGCCTTCTTTGAAAAAGATATTTTACTCAGAGCTTTAACTTTCATGTAAAGATGTAGCTTTTTGTACTAGGTTATAATTTATGTTGTGTCTTGTAGAGGTAACTATGTTGTGTACAAAAGAAGATAAGAGATTTGAACACGGAGAGAATTAAAAGTTGTTAAGTGAGAGAGATTATATCCAATCATTTTTAAAAGGCTTAATACCACTTGTGGTCCCTATTTTCATTCACTTTGTTCAACGTGGAACTCGACTTTTTCAAGTGTTTAATGTGATCCCAATTTTCATAATTTTTGTTTAATTTGGTCATTTTTTTTACCGCGTCTAAATTGTTAACAACAAAGTGTCTACGTGAGCAATTAATGAATGATGTGTTCGTTTTGGCCTATGTGGCCCGCCCATGCTAGGTTTTCAAACTTCCAGTTTCCCTTTCTTCCCTTTCACATTCTATATCTCATTTGTCTTCAACTCATGCTTTTTATTTTCACTTTCTTTTTACAATTTAGGTTTGCAACTCGAATTTAGTATAATTGCATTTGGAGTATTTTGTTTTGAAAATAGATATAATGAATGTGTGCTCTGATTTTGGTTTTTGGGTAGAATGTTTGATTTGGTTTTGATTATATGGGAAATAGAAGGAAACATGATAATTGTATCTTGGTTTATGATTCCATGTTGTTTATAAAGTAATGATTTAGAGATCTAATGTTGCTTTATTTAGGGATTTATGATTTATTGCTTATATCTTAGTTTTTGATTTAAAGATTTATGATTTATGGATTTATTTAGAGAATTGCATCTTGGTTTCTAGTATATGCATGTAGGTATTTCATTGTGGCACGTCACCGGCACCGTGCGATGAAGTTGCATGGTAGCTGATGTCGGTGGCTAGGGTTTCTATGTTGGAAGTTTAAAAATAATGATGTGACAATGTCGTTAACGATTTAGATATCGTCATTAAAAAAGGTCAAATTGAACAAAAATTATGAAAATTAAGACCACATTAAATACTCAAAAAATTAGTTTCACTTTGAACAAAGTGAATGAAAATAAAAAAAAAAAATAATATTAAGCCTTGCTAAAATTAGGAGACCAAGAAAAATTAAAATTGCAAGCAATAACTAATTTTAATTTTGGATGAGAAACTAAAAACATATTTAATCTATATATGAATTTATATTATTTTAAATTTACTTAAATAAATTTATCTCAAACCTAAATTCATATTTTTACATTAAAAATGCTTTAACATCATATGCAATTACAAAAATAAAATAGAATTGAATAATTCATAGAAAATCAAATCAAATTAATTTAAAAGTGGAATCAAAGTTATATCAAAAATAGAAATTAAATATGATGTTCAAATTGATTTTATAAAATAAAAATAAATCTCATAATGTTTTAAAAACATAAAACAAACTGAAGAAATATATTAAAATAATATTAACAAATAGAATTTATTTAAAATTTCAGCCATTATACATTTTAAGATGTGAAATTATTTCTCAACTTTCATCGGAATAGGAACATTATAAATTATTACAGTAAAATTAATCATATTTTAGTATTGTTTAGTGCGAAAGATTTTAATTTTAGGATGATTATATTCACTAAAATTTAAACATGTAATTCCATATAACAGTAGCACCAGTGGTCTAGTGGTAGAATAGTACCCTGCCACGGTACAGACCCGGGTTCGATTCCCGGCTGGTGCAATTTTTCTTTTTGAATTTCTATTTTGCAAATCTAAAACTGCTGTATCGTTGACGATGACGTTTCATACCAAACTTCTACAAATTACAAATGCTATTTGAAATTTGTAGATCCTAGACAAATACAATTAAGGAAACATGGCCTACAATTTAAGACACAGACTTCAACATTTCCAAAAGGGACCAATGTATTTGAGTATGTCAATTCCAAATTGTGCCATTATTATGAAGTTAATGTAGCACCGACACATTCTACGTTTGAATTGTGCCATTTAACCATTCTCCACACAATTAATAGCATACTCTAATACTAGTGGGGAAACAGTACCCCAGAGTCATCTACCAATTTAATTTTTTTGACAATATCCTCCAGTCATGTTTGGATTACCATTACAAACCCTTCTAAAAGTACTTTCATATATTAAATGGTACAAACTACAAAGAATTTCTTTTTAAATATCATTTTTCTTACTTAAATGGTTATCCAAACACCCACATTGGTGTTCACTAGCACATATGAACCCAAAAAGTAAAAACTGAAACCACTTCACATCCAGCAGGAACAAAGAGGTTCCACTAAATTCCAAATTCCAATTCACTCACTACATTCATATCTAATAGAATAAAATGATCCACAAGAACAGATAACTTATTTTAGTAACCGTAAAACTACTGAACAAGAGTAACTTGTTGTAAATATATTAGAACTTATCTACATTTATACCATCTCTAGTAACCTCATATGCTTCCCTTTTCCTTGTCTTCTTCATGCCGGCCATGAAGTGGAGCTTTGGTCCCTCAGATGAAATGGTGGTTACTTTTACCCAGATCAGCACCTTAGTCTTTATTCCCTCTATTTCTGCTAGCTTTCCTTTCTCCAAATAACCACTCACAATAGTGGAGAACCGCAACACTGATGAATCTCGGTAGCCGACTTCGCACACTTGAGGAATGTAAACAACAAGTTTCCCAGTTTCTTCATTGAATTCGTAGTTTGTTGCATCACGAGGAAACATTCCAATGGGTAGATCATACTCCTTTAGTAACTCCGTTAATGGCTTTTGCATCTTTCCTATGAAGCATCAAGAGGGTAATGTTAATCAAAAGGGAGAAGGGTAAGTTTGGGAAGCGAGATGACAATGGATGGAGAAGAATGTATATATCATCTTTGAATGCCTTAACAGTTGTTTTAGGATTTGTAAAATTGGGATGCTAATAATTTCAATGTCATCTGAATGTACTAAAGATCAAACGCAAATATCCTACTAGCTTCCACAACTTACTTTACCTATAGAATGATCAAATACCAAAATTCAAAAGATTTGTTGTACAAGATGACTTTGTCATATATGATGATGAGACGATGAATACCGTCCAATCCATGTTTGTCACATTAATTTCAGTTTAGAATGTTTTGAAGTCCTTTTCAGTGTATCTGGTTCTCTTCAGAAAAAGCAGTGCAAGTATATATCCCTATTCACACTAGAGTACCACCAAAACTCATCCATGCCTACACACACACACAAAGTTGAAAGTGATTCATATTTCAAAATACTAACTTCCCATGTTAGTCCAGTTCACTCATCGTGGAGAATCCCCTTGTATTCAGGTCAAATAAAAATTAATTACATATATGATTGATGAAATATGTATAATGGCTTTGGCAATCGAAGAGAATATTTTGAAACTTTGATGCATTTATATACTTGGGATTATGAATTTAAATTAAAAGAACTCTACAAAGCCTATGCTTGCACAAATGTTTGAGNCCATGCTAGGTTTTCAAACTTCCAGTTTCCCTTTCTTCCCTTTCACATTCTATATCTCATTTGTCTTCAACTCATGCTTTTTATTTTCACTTTCTTTTTACAATTTAGGTTTGCAACTCGAATTTAGTATAATTGCATTTGGAGTATTTTGTTTTGAAAATAGATATAATGAATGTGTGCTCTGATTTTGGTTTTTGGGTAGAATGTTTGATTTGGTTTTGATTATATGGGAAATAGAAGGAAACATGATAATTGTATCTTGGTTTATGATTCCATGTTGTTTATAAAGTAATGATTTAGAGATCTAATGTTGCTTTATTTAGGGATTTATGATTTATTGCTTATATCTTAGTTTTTGATTTAAAGATTTATGATTTATGGATTTATTTAGAGAATTGCATCTTGGTTTCTAGTATATGCATGTAGGTATTTCATTGTGGCACGTCACCGGCACCGTGCGATGAAGTTGCATGGTAGCTGATGTCGGTGGCTAGGGTTTCTATGTTGGAAGTTTAAAAATAATGATGTGACAATGTCGTTAACGATTTAGATATCGTCATTAAAAAAGGTCAAATTGAACAAAAATTATGAAAATTAAGACCACATTAAATACTCAAAAAATTAGTTTCACTTTGAACAAAGTGAATGAAAATAAAAAAAAAAATAATATTAAGCCTTGCTAAAATTAGGAGACCAAGAAAAATTAAAATTGCAAGCAATAACTAATTTTAATTTTGGATGAGAAACTAAAAACATATTTAATCTATATATGAATTTATATTATTTTAAATTTACTTAAATAAATTTATCTCAAACCTAAATTCATATTTTTACATTAAAAATGCTTTAACATCATATGCAATTACAAAAATAAAATAGAATTGAATAATTCATAGAAAATCAAATCAAATTAATTTAAAAGTGGAATCAAAGTTATATCAAAAATAGAAATTAAATATGATGTTCAAATTGATTTTATAAAATAAAAATAAATCTCATAATGTTTTAAAAACATAAAACAAACTGAAGAAATATATTAAAATAATATTAACAAATAGAATTTATTTAAAATTTCAGCCATTATACATTTTAAGATGTGAAATTATTTCTCAACTTTCATCGGAATAGGAACATTATAAATTATTACAGTAAAATTAATCATATTTTAGTATTGTTTAGTGCGAAAGATTTTAATTTTAGGATGATTATATTCACTAAAATTTAAACATGTAATTCCTTATAACAGTAGCACCAGTGGTCTAGTGGTAGAATAGTACCCTGCCACGGTACAGACCCGGGTTCGATTCCCGGCTGGTGCAATTTTTCTTTTTGAATTTCTATTTTGCAAATCTAAAACTGCTGTATCGTTGACGATGACGTTTCATACCAAACTTCTACAAATTACAAATGTTATTTGAAATTTGTAGATCCTAGACAAATACAATTAAGGAAACATGGCCTACAATTTAAGACATAGACTTCAACATTTCCAAAAGGGACCAATGTATTTGAGTATGTCAATTCCAAATTGTGCCATTATTATGAAGTTAATGTAGCACCGACACATTCTACGTTTGAATTGTGCCATTTAACCATTCTCCACACAATTAATAGCATACTCTAATACTAGTGGGGAAACAGTACCCCAGAGTCATCTACCAATTTAATTTTTTTGACAATATCCTCCAGTCATGTTTGGATTACCATTACAAACCCTTCTAAAAGTACTTTCATATATTAAATGGTACAAACTACAAAGAATTTCTTTTTAAATATCATTTTTCTTACTTAAATGGTTATCCAAACACCCACATTGGTGTTCACTAGCACATATGAACCCAAAAAGTAAAAACTGAAACCACTTCACATCCAGCAGGAACAAAGAGGTTCCACTAAATTCCAAATTCTAATTCACTCACTACATTCATATCTAATAGAATAAAATGATCCACAAGAACAGATAACTTATTTTAGTAACCGTAAAACTACTGAACAAGAGTAACTTGTTGTAAATATATTAGAACTTATCTACATTTATACCATCTCTAGTAACCTCATATGCTTCCCTTTTCCTTGTCTTCTTCATGCCGGCCATGAAGTGGAGCTTTGGTCCCTCAGATGAAATGGTGGTTACTTTTACCCAGATCAGCACCTTAGTCTTTATTCCCTCTATTTCTGCTAGCTTTCCTTTCTCCAAATAACCACTCACAATAGTGGAGAACCGCAACACTGATGAATCTCGGTAGCCGACTTCGCACACTTGAGGAATGTAAACAACAAGTTTCCCAGTTTCTTCATTGAATTCGTAGTTTGTTGCATCACGAGGAAACATTCCAATGGGTAGATCATACTCCTTTAGTAACTCCGTTAATGGCTTTTGCATCTTTCCTATGAAGCATCAAGAGGGTAATGTTAATCAAAAGGGAGAAGGGTAAGTTTGGGAAGCGAGATGACAATGGATGGAGAAGAATGTATATATCATCTTTGAATGCCTTAACAGTTGTTTTAGGATTTGTAAAATTGGGATGCTAATAATTTCAATGTCATCTGAATGTACTAAAGATCAAACGCAAATATCCTACTAGCTTCCACAACTTACTTTACCTATAGAATGATCAAATACCAAAATTCAAAAGATTTGTTGTACAAGATGACTTTGTCATATATGATGATGAGACGATGAATACCGTCCAATCCATGTTTGTCACATTAATTTCAGTTTAGAATGTTTTGAAGTCCTTTTCAGTGTATCTGGTTCTCTTCAGAAAAAGCAGTGCAAGTATATATCCCTATTCACACTAGAGTACCACCAAAACTCATCCATGCCTACACACACACACAAAGTTGAAAGTGATTCATATTTCAAAATACTAACTTCCCATGTTAGTCCAGTTCACTCATCGTGGAGAATCCCCTTGTATTCAGGTCAAATAAAAATTAATTACATATATGATTGATGAAATATGTATAATGGCTTTGGCAATCGAAGAGAATATTTTGAAACTTTGATGCATTTATATACTTGGGATTATGAATTTAAATTAAAAGAACTCTACAAAGCCTATGCTTGCACAAATGTTTTAGCAATACATATAAACATTATGATACAAACCTTTTAATTTGTTGACCAACCATTTGGTTCCCCCTTCAATACTGGTTGACAGTGACTATTCAACAATGGCAAATGTGTTAATAAAACATAAGCAATAAAATGTCCTCTCAAAATTCGTTAAATTTATGGGAAACATTACAAACCCAAGATACACAAATGAACAGCAGGGGCATAAATCAATCTTGAGCATTGCATCTTCCCTAATATTCATATTAACCTAATCTTATACCAAAGCAGGAAGAATTAGAGAACTAAAATTATTAAGTCGTTAAATATCCAACAAATTTTGACCACATTAAGTGAACCTCAAAATTTCCAGCAAAGAAAAATGAATACCTTTCAGCACCAAAACAGAAACTAACTTCAAGCATGCATTGATATAATTACATACTAGTAATCATTAGGGCTTACTGTAACACTCACTACTTCTAACTTGGTTAGCAAAAATTAACACTGCAATCTTTGTGCATCTCTCACCTGAATCACTTATATAGATTAAAAATTATCAAAATGGTTCTAGAAACATAATCTCACAACATATGGTATCAAATTCTACGCATAAGTTGTGGAGCAAATAGTATGGCTGGTTGTGAAGGGAGTTTGAGGGACCACTTTGGCAATTTCATAACTGCTTATTTTTGGCATCAAAATGGGGGATTTCACAATCACTCTGGCTGAATTATGGGGATTGTTCCATGGTCTGAATTCGGCTTGGGGAAGACGGTATCAGAAAACCCTACTGGAATCAGATTCTCCAACAGACATTACATATGTGATGACAGATAGTTATCACATATCTTTAGAGAGACTAACCAAGTTGCAAATGCATTAGCCAAATCTAGTTTTTTTTTTCTAATTTTGCCAGCGGAATTAATGATTTCATTCCTGGTTTATTTTTCTGCACTAGCAGATGCTTCATCCTCATGTCTTTTACTCTAACTCCCTTGTTTCTTACCAGAAAAAGAAAAAACTCATGCAAAAAATTTATAAAGCTTCTCTATTCCTTTGTTTATTCACAACCTAAAATTTCCTTCCTAAGTTACTACTAGTCCCTTACCTGTTGCTCCTTAAAAAAATTATTGCCCAATTCTTTTTGAATCTCATGTCCCCTACAATAAAAGTGTCGCGAAATTAATCTTGCAATGCTGAGAACTGAACTCTAATCCTGAACTCAATGCCAGTGTTTTACTCGCCTATATACTTTCTTATAACCTAGTTT